GGAGTCCTCGTGAACCAGGAGACGCGGCCCGCGATGACACAGCAGCATTAAATAAAAGATAAAATGGAAACAAGGCTCTTTGAATAACACTGCCTGAAAGCAATTTCCTTCTTGAACTGGGGCACTGCTGATCTGAAAGCCACAAATTTTAGAGAATCATGCAGGGCCCGAGACTTTGATTGTATAGTTAATAAAGGATAAAAAAAAATCTTCATCTCACACGGCTGATGACATGCAAAACAAATTCAAGATGTTCAGCGACAGACTTGCAAGAATTCCAAATAAAAAATGAAACAGAATCTAAGGCTGTTCTTTTAACTGTTCACAAACTTACACCTATAGAGTGGATTAAAAAAAAATTTTTTTTTATCACCACCGCATTGAGGGTTTGTGTCAGAAACATATTTGAGATATTAATTCTCAAGACGCCAGTGCCATCTTTAAGTTGCCGGAGATTTATTTAATAACAAAAGTTATATGCCTACGGACATTTTGTGTATCAAAAAAAGATACATGTTCCCCACCTTGGAGTGTGCTTTAGGAACAGTCCTCACGAGTCATTGCCGCTGTGAGAAGGAAGCCAGGATATTTAACTTTTCGTTCAAGCCATGCAGCTCAAAGCTCCCTGATAGCTCATGTTCTTTCCTGGAATCGTGAAGTTTGAACTTGAGAGAAAAATAAATATATTTTACATTTTAAAATACCGTCCTTCTGTTATAAGCACATTCTTCTGTCAATATTGATGATATTAAAAGGTTAGTGAAAAAAATATATGAGAAATGAGCCAGCCACTAAGTCTCCAAGCAGAACAAGGGCTGTCTGGCCAGATGATATAATTCCAAAAAGATAAAAGGGGTTAAGACTCCATTTAGTCAAGTACACCAACAGGATGCCGAAGTTCTGAAAATCAGGTTTGATGGATGTAAGCAAGAGAGGAACATACCATCATTTTTGAGAAATAAAAGAGGAAATATCAAAGATGGGGCACAGAGGTGACCAATGGGATGAATCTTGGCTTGGTAGCAAGATCTATGGCCCTTCTGGCTGACTGTGTCTGTAATTGCCGTAATCATTTTAGAAAGCGATCTTGCAAACATTCTCTTAATGTATGTATTTTTTGCTTCTTTTTGCTAAATTCTGGGAATATCCTTAGATGTGGTAAGGGTCACTAAACTTTCTCATTTCTATTTAATGAAACTCTTTTTTTATGCTAAGTTCCTATCAATGTGAATATTATTTCATGCTTTCGGCAATCACAGAGTGTTTATATTCTGCTTATTACATCTTCTTAATGAAGAGAACGTTGCTACAGACTTGACCTCTTTTTCCCCCTAGATTATTTTCAACTAGAGTAGGCCAGTTGAATTTGTATCTGTTTCTCCTCTGTGCTTGAGCAAATCAGTCATGGGGGCAGGGGTTGAGTACCGGGAAGGGGAGAGTAGAAGCCTGTGCCATAAAAAATGGTAGATGAGTTTAAAAGTGGCGTCCCTCACAACCCTTTTAATCTTGTCAAATTATTGGTTTTTGTTGTTTTTTTCTTCCTTAGGAATTATTTATGAGTAGAAATGGAGATTTTATTCTACAACATAATCATTTCGTTTGGGGACAAGAGTGCAAGGTTCTTGCTCTTTGGGTAATAATTTTCTTTGACTGATATCATCACCTGATCCGCTCTCCAGAAGTAAATATAGAAATCTAAAATGTTTGCTACATTTTCCTTGTGAGGAGAAATACAGAGGAAGTTTTCCCACCTGGTGTGAATTAATGATTGCCATGGGAAAGTTTGATTGCTGATATATTTAATTTTGTTATAAAATTACTTAAAATTGATCGAAATATTGCCCCCGGTACACAACTGGTGGATAGATAGATAGATAGATAGATAGATAGATAGATATAGATGATAGATAGATTCTATTTTATATATATCTAAAATTAAATCAATCTTTCTATTTAAAAATTCTTTTGTAGTGTTTCAAAATCTCATAAATGATTTATTTTGTATGACAGGTGACAAAGAGTTTTAGAATCTTTTGAATTTGTATCTAATTTATAAGTATGAGAGAATTTTCTTTTGTAATTAAAAGAGTGACTCAATATGAAAGGTCTCATGGGGGACTGTTTAACAGAGTGGCATGCACCAGTTACCAATCCCAGGGAAGGGCTCTGAGCACATCTGCCCACCACATCTTAGTATTGCATCGCCGAGAAGAACACAACTCAGTCAAGCACTGGATGAGACAACATTTTACTCACAGGGTGAAGAAACAGAGCAAGATCAGCTTTAATAGTGGGCATTGGTCCCCCATGACCAGCAGGTCTCTCTTAACAGCTCATGTGGTGCAACTTGTCCACATGCACACTTTTTGAGCCACAGTGGAATGACCCCGTCTCTTTTGTGTGGAAGACAGCCACAGCAGTGGGATGGCCAGGTGTCACAGGATGTACATGCTTAAGCAGAATTAAAGGGCACACACTGAGCATGAATTAGGGAAGGATATTCTCAAACAAGGTAATAAACCTGGAAGAGAATATGTGGGCTCTTTTTCTCTAGTTAAGGAAGTGTTCCAGGTTCAAAGTTTCCAATCAAATTCAAGATGTTGGTCAAAAAAAGCAATCTACAGGAAACTGTAGGTAGACTGGGGACTACCAATGGGGACTGCAAAAGAGGAACTAGTATTTCATTAGCAGAGATTAGAATTTAGGAGGACACTTAATCCTGTTTTTTGGGCTATATAGATGGGATTTATTATCAAGAAAACATACCAAAAGCTGAATAACCATGAAATTAGGGCATTTAAGACCTGAGTAAACCCAGACATAAAGTTGATCATGTTTAGTCAGTGATTTCGAGTCTCTTAAGTAATTCATTCTTTGAGCTATGATTCATTCTAGAGTTTGAGATAAAGAAATGTAGACAACATGATTAAAGGCAAGGAGGAATAAACTAGCACATCAAAATTGCAAGGAAAACCAATATGTGTTTTGTCAATTATTTTGAAAACTACCATGCTTACCAAATCTTATTTGACTTAGTTGAGTTATAGAGAGAGACCCCATTTAAATAAATAAGTAAATAAAATTCTGGGAGCTCGACAGTTACTGAGTTTGAAAAAAGAAGAGATTAAAGTTAGGAATTCTCCCATAGCATACTTGATCTTATATGATCTAGCCTTGATTTAGAGAGAGAGTCATCCATTACCTAACTTATTAATGGAGCAATTCTACAAGCAAATGATGCCTTCATTTGGAATTCAAATCAGCAGGATTCTCTTTTGTCTCTGAAGCTGGAGCCAAAGTCCCAACTAAGATTGTACCATATGTCACGGGTTGGGTTCTCTGGAAAGGATAACAAGATGGACTCTGAGGTAAATTGGCACCTATAGAAGGGAGAGGAAGGGAAGGCAGCAGCATCTGGCTGAAGAAGTAGTTGAGTTGTGATCCTGGCCTGATGACAACCTCTACCAATAACCAACCTCCTGGAGAAACTTTGGAGCCAAAACCACCTGTTAATGTTGCTCTGCTTTGGATGGGTTGAAAAGACCTGGCATTTATATGAATCCTTCACGCATCATTTGATGTGGGCTACTCCCAGAAGGGCATGACCTTAGGCAAAGAAGTTCTCTGCTGCTGAAGCCATCCCTGAAGGTCCTGCCAACTGAAGTCTGCCTGCCAACAGCAACCTTGGCAGCTGGGACAGCAAGTCCTCCCTGAAAAGAGTCATGAACAAGTACTGCCCTGAAGGAGGGTCTGGAGAGGGCATCACCAAGGCCGCCACAACTTCCCTTTCTGTCATAAGAATGCTGCCTTGGGTAGGAAAAGGTGTAAATAAGGGTGGATCTCTGGTTATATATAAGAATTTATTAAGTAAAATGTATTATCATTTCCATGGAAAACTTTGCTTTACTGTTAATTTCTGCACACATTTTCTTTATAAAAGAAGGTTTTCCAGGCATTTTTCTCCAACTAGTAGTAGCAAGTTGCCTTGCTCATACAATATATCCATTCATGGTTATTGACTTGTTTTTTCAAATCTAGGAGTTGTCCATTGGAAAAACTTCTGATCAAGAGAGATTCAGGGCGGCAGTGTAGTATACTTCAGGGTTCAAAATCCACTTATGGTTTGAACAGTTTTAAGGAAAGCAATCTCAGACCCAGAATCTAAGATGAAAATGTCTCTAATGTTCTGTAATTATAACCTATTTGGTGTAAGTTATACCCCTAAAATACCATTCATTTTTTTTTAATTTAATGAAATATTATGTGTTTTTTTTTTTCTTTATTTACCTTGATGCAATGCTTTAAAACAAGACCAGCGCTGGCTTGACAATATTTCCCAAGTAAAACACCATCAAGTACAAATATTACGAAGGATCTCTGAGTCTCCTTTACTGAGCATTCTTGTGCTCATGTGGTCATTGCAGCTGAGGATCCCAGTTGGAGAACAGCTCAGCAGAAACAGCCTTTGAAAGAACAACTGCTATTTTCCTTATCAGTGGCACCAAAATTTGTCTACATGTAGACAAGCAAGTAAAGGGTATGTCTTTAAAGCCCCCTTTCCCTACCACCACTGTGTTCCTTCCCATGGTTCTGCACCGTAGGTGACTCTATGCTGCCTAATCCTAGGATCAACATCTGGGAGAACAGACCAGGTTGATCTCTTCCAGGACAACCCACTTTTCTTTATTAATTCCTTATTTAGCTGAACTATAAATATTATTAAACATTTGCTTATGAACTGCCAGAACACCATGCTGTTCAACAGATGAGACTGGTGTGTTTTAATTTTACGCACTCAGAATGTGCTTAGTTTAGCTCCCTCTCTGCACTCCACATTTTCCTACATTCCAGTTATTTGGAAAGATTTCTTTTTTTTCCTTACAATCCAAGGCACAGATTTTCTTAATTTTTTTCTGTTGGTGGGGGGTTGGTTTGGGGGCCTGTGTGAGGACAGGAGGATTATGGGGGTGGAATGGGTTATGACACATTTTCATTTGCAGCTGCTACGACTCCATTGCCTTAATCCAGCCCAGATCTCAGCAGAAACCTAACACCATTCCGGTGACCCTGGAATTGCACCAGCGCCTCAAATCACCAAATAAGGTAAGTCATTTGTTATCTGAGCCATAAATATTTACATCCACTGGTGACAAATGTATAAAGAGTGTGGAGTGACTGTGTAATTTCAGCTGCTCTCCTCTAGCCTGTCAATAGTTTCTCTTATCTCTTGAAAGCCCTAATGACTGAAGTGTGCTAGTTGAATAAGAACGTGCTTCTCCAGCTTGTTACCCTCTTGTAATTGTTCACGATGACCACATTCGTCACCTAGGAAGTTTTTGTTTTACTTTTCAATTTAGTGCCTGTTGCAGAAAATTGTTCAGACTGGCAAACATTTAGCACTCTCTGGTCTCCCTCATTATTTCATGGGCTCCGTCCCCATTGTTACCACAAACCCATGAGAGCTTTACCATTTTTTTATTCTTTAATTTACTGACATATGAATCCTGTTTCATTTTTTTATCAAGAGCTGTAGCTGAAAGAAACATGGAAAAATTTTAAAATCATGCTATTGGTCTTTCATCTACTAAGCCATCATGGAGAACTTGTATTTTTCTACTATCACTAGTTAAAAAATTCCAAAGGTCAGAAAGAGAAATCAAAGTATATGTAATGAATTTGAAAGATGAGAGCTAACAATATTAAAAATGTGGATAATTCAACTTTAAAAGACCTGAATATTTTGTGAAAATGATGTGGTGGCTGGTCCTAATTGCACATACACCTTCCTCAGAGGCATAACCTTTCAGAAAATGGCTACAGATTTTCCTAAAACATTGCAGTGGCCTGATGGCTAAAATTCGATGGTTAATTGACACTTAGATAGATCAGCCTCTATAGGCTTTTTCCTGGAGGAAGAATTTGAATTTAGCAAGAACTTTAATAGATCCTCAGAAGCAACTGAGTTGATAACTTGCAGAAATGTGAATCATACCTTAAAAGAAGACTCAACTCACATATCCAGCTATGTTTCCTAATACTCCAGGCTAAATTAAGTGGCTAAGCTCTTCTTGTCCCCATACCACGCCATGTATATTCCTGTTGCAGTATCGCACTGGAATCTGAGCTACTTGAATACAGAGATCTGCTGATTCACTTGAAGGTCTCTAAAATTCAGCACAATGCAGTATCACCTTGGAATTTGGGCATAAAAATATTAATTGAATAAATAGATGAGAAAGAAAGGTGAGAAAGACAAAATGGAATGGATCTTAAGAGAAGGGGTGTTGCATGTTTTTAAATATTCGTTAGAATAGGCAGGTGTCAGAAACAGCTCTTTTTTTTTGTTCATCCTCACCTAAGGATATTTTTTCCATTGATTTTTAGAGAGAGTGAAAGGGAGGGAGGGAGGGAGGGAGGGAGAGAGAGAGAGAGAGAGTAATATCAATTGGTTGCCTCCCACATGTGCCTCAATGGGGTTGGGTATTGAACCTACAACCCGGGTAGTTGCCCTTGACCAGAAATCAAACCTGAGACCCTTCAGTCTGTAGGCTGATGCTCTAACCACTGAGTAATATCAGCTAGGGCAGGAATTTGGTTTTTTGTTCTCATCGTGTGTGTGTGTGTGTGTGTGTGTGTGTGTGTGTGTGTGTTACATAATAGTGACTCATAAAGATAACACTGATTTTTATGAGACAGTGACTTGTAGAAGATTAAGCTAGGGTGAACTATAGAGATTGATTTGACTTAGAGAGATATATTTGTAGCCTTAAAAAAAGTCAGTTGCAATCTAGTTACCTGAATTAACAGCCATGTACACAAGGTAATTTTCAGTAACACATTGTTTGCTATCTAGGTGCAGGGGCATAATTTGCCTCTGGTATGCAACTACCTGTTCACCTGCTGCTCTGCCTTCTCCCTTCTAAATATTCAGTGCCCTCCCAATATTTCCTAGCTGTACAAAGTTCTTCCCTTCCCATCAGGGCTTTACATCCTTCATGCTCTCTTCCTCCCTACCCAGCAAAACCCCCATTTCCTGAATTACTTCTTTTCAGCTTGATAGTCATGTGATTATTAAAATAATTGTCACTATGACATAGATTCGATCTCCTCAGGATATTTGTTTTTAAAAAGAGGAGTCTGCTCTTCCAAATTAATTTCTAATTGTGCAAATATTTATATGGAAAAAGAGGGAGATATTTTCATTTGAGGCCTTTTGGTGGTTCTTTTTTTTTTTTTTTTTTTTTTTTTATCCTCACCCGAGGATATTTTTCCATTTTTTGTACAGATAGAGTGGGAGGGAGAGAGAGGAAGGGAGAGAGAGAGAGAAACATCGACGTGAAGGGACACATCGAGTGGCTGCCACCCGCACAACCCAACCAGGGCCGGGGACAAACTGCAACCGAAGTACGTGCCCTTAGCGGGAACCGAACCCGGGTCTCTCCGGACCGCAGGCCGACGCTCTAACCGCTGAGCCAAACTGGCCAGGGCTGGTGGTTCTTATATACTCATCCTCTCCTGGCTGTGTGCCCACTCTCACATTTAGTCCAGAACCTCATCAAATATACAAACCATCATTGTTCAATTTCATATAGTCATGTTCTGCATTGCCCTATGCTCTTGAGCAAGTGTCTTAACACCCCAAAATTCCCAGTGAAAGAAGAATTAGAGCTCAACAAATGCAACAATGCTAAAAAGAGTCATCATTCAAAATAGGAGTCGCAGAGGATGTGTGTTCAGTGTTGGGTGATGCTCCTTAGAGGCAGTCTACCTGTGATCGGACACAGGGGCTCCGGCACTCGCTTAACCTCTCCCCTGCCCTCCCCTGTCTGTAAGGGAATACGTGCAGTGCCGATGGGAACCTCGGAAGTGATGTACGTGAAAGTGCTGAGTAAAACAAGCATCTCACAGACAGTCAACATTGTCATGATCACACAATAGAAAGTTTAAGTAAGATTCTCACAGTCTAATCACTACTCTCGAGCCACCGTCTTCTCCTTTGCAGAATGAATGACCTGAAACGGAAGCGTGATGCCTATTTCATCATTTTAATGTGGTTTTATCCTTAAAATATAATTCAGTGTTGAGATTTAAAAATGAAGAAGCCAATAATTTTTTAAAAAACCCTTATTCTCTTAGATTTCTTTTTAAGTTTGGTGATAAATAGTGTCGGGTAGGATGTGTAGTGTGAAGGGAGTTATAATAAATTATTTGGAAGACAGAACTCATGAGTAATAATTACAAACCCTCAAAACCAGTTTTAATGATAGTTTTTCAACAACAGATTTTGAAAATGTCACTGAAACTCACTGAGCCTTGGTCTTCTTATTGTTTAAAAGGAGATAATTCAACCATTTATTCAAGAAATACCATTAAGCACATTCTTGTGTTTGGCATCAGTGATGCAAATATAAACTGAATGCTGTCCTTGCTCTGAGGGTTCACCTGCCCTGTCTGTCTCCTAAGAATTCTGTAAGGATAACTTAGATGGATAAGAATGTGACTTGGCAACTGTAAAACTGTCTATAAATAGGTAAAATTAAGTCTTCATCATGTAGAGGAATACTGTCAAGGCTGGTAAACAATGTTTAATTTTTAGTGAACATGTAACCAGAGGCATAGGTTTGTTGTGTTTTTTTTTTTTTTTTCCTTTGTTTTTTTTTCCATCACCATTTATCTCCCCTGTACCCTCAGAGGTACATGTTTTTAAGTATCTTAATGGGGTCTGTAAAAGTTCTGTCTTAGTTTTTAAACCAACAAAAAGACTTAAATGCAGAAAGAAAAAAAAAAACAAGGACCGTATAAACACCAAACTTTTTCTTCCTTTTCCTTTCTATGATCTTATAAAAGGCAATGTCAGTAATAATAGCTGGAGTATATATTTGAATACTATTTTATTTATTTTATTTGAATGTGTTCTAAACAGAGTCATTTTACTTGAGTAGTCACCTGCAATGAAATAAATCCAATTTTAGTTCACTTCTCTGAAAATTCTACGTCCTCCACTGGGTGTGCACGATAAAAAAATCCCTCTTTCTAAAACTTGCTGCAATTGATGATTCATTAGTAAACTAGGTTATAATTTATGATAATATATCTTTAGAGCCTCAAATTTAAAATCAAAGGTTTGTAAGTGAAGATTAAAGCTCGGAGGGCAGGGAAGTGAGTAGGACATGGTTCAGCGCCTTTCAGTCTGAGTCATATGTTTATTGGTGAAATCAGGTTCTGTGTGGGATTGGTTGGCACGGATCACATGCAGCCCCATTTGGAAGGAAGTTGATTTTTTTTTTGCAGCTAATGTTCTTACTTTCACTACTGCCTTTGAAAGTCTCCAGCAGTTCCAGTTACATGTGTGCATGGAATGTTTCTACTTTGAGTTGATTCATTATATTGTCTCATGCTTATTTTAAACAAGAGTTTTACCTGCTCTTGTACAATGGAAATGTGTTCTGTGTGATTTGAGAGAGAGAGAGAGAGAGAGAGAGAGAGAGAACTGGGGATCAGAGTGTCATGAAGAAAACATATTGCAGATCCTGAAACACCTAATCAGGTTGCAGCTAGAAGGGTTCTCAAAATATTAGTGACACAGAAATGTCTTTGGGAATATCTTTATTTTATACACACACACACACACACACACACACACACACACACAATTTTTTTTCTGAAGTGCTTCATTATTCATATATTATGAACTGTTCATAGGACTTGGCTTGGATCCTCTCCTTCAGGTACTTTGGTCTCCAGTGACCTGTTAAAATGGTCTTAGCACATTCACAAGGCTTTTCATTGCAGTCCAGCCTGTTTGTAAAAACGATCCATCAATATCATGTTCAGATGACAATCTATGTATAACCTGACTTTGCTTAACCAGCTTGTCTAATGCTGAGAGCATAGAATTCTGTCCAGGAATGACATCTTGAATAAGTTTGGGTTGGGGCATATTGCATTCTTCTTCAAGACTTTTTTTTTTTCTTCTGTTCAGACGTTTCCTTGCTTTTACAAGGCTATAAAAATAGGAACACATTTTTCTTTCCTTTGAAATGACATTGGCCCCAGTTTTGCTCTTCTCTGGGGTGCAAGTTAATTAAATCTGCATGCAAAGA